TAAGGAAATCGTGTGAACACGGGCTTTCGATTTGATTAATCTATTACTTTGATTCTCCGTTAGTTTATCCTACAGTGAAATTTGGAATGGCCGAAGGTGGCTTTCAAACATGGGCACATATCTCCAAAACGCCACTTATCTTGTGGACGAAATTTGGTTCGTCGTGTATACTCCATTTGGCATAACTTATATAAAACTTTATTTTTAATCACATATTTCATTTCATAATTATTCTTCACTCATTTTTATATATTTATAAATTAAATCATTTACGAATTCATTCTAAATGAAGGTTTAGGGCATATTCTCTTTCCTATTTTCAGGTCATTTTCAATTTTCAGTTTTCGAAAACACTGAAAACATATTTACTTACCTATTTTCATAAACAAATTTTCAAAAACGAGTTTAAATTTTACAAAGAAAACAGAAAACACCAAAAATGTTGTTTTGGCCGTTTTCAGTTAAAATTAAGTCAAAACTTCATTTTTTTTATTTTTGAAAATAATTTTTCAAAATGACAAGAATAACGTGTTTCAGTAATCTCAAAATAGACAATCAAAACACCAAATTCAAAATGAATTTAAAACTCAAAAACGAAGAGAACATCCCCTTAATGTTTTATCTTATGAAACCCACCAATAAAACTAAACATAATCTTTAACAAAGAGGATTATATGAATAATGCTACTTTCAGTCGCTCACTGCAGCAGTCGTCCTATGTGGCACACACATGTCAAGTGTGTATTTNTTATATGACATACACATGTCAAGTGTGTATTTGATGCATTAAATGTGGTAAAAAACTACCACATTAATTCATCAAATAACTACATGCCATGTGTGTGCCACATAGGACGACTGATGCAGTAATCGACTGCAAGTAGCATTACTCAGATTGTATCGCATTATCCTCAACTGCAAGTTTCTTGTATCAAGAATTCTCGAAACTGACAAATTCAACAATTGGGCCAAGTTAATATCGTGTTTACTGTTACTTTATGCTCAAATTTTTTGCACCTACCTTGTGTACTAAGACATCTTAAATCACAAAAAATGGTGTTTCAATAAATGTGCCTCGAAAAATGACTAAATTCTTTCGAATATGATCCAACATCCAATTTTGACTAGAAAACAAGATTGCCTTTAAATGTTTAGCAAACAAATTAAGTAGCAGACCATTGATGATCACAATTAACGATAAATAAAGTTATTTTTTAATAAATATTCATTGCTCTACAGATTCAATTAGTGACTTGATACTTTGATCGTTCGGAAATCAGATTTAAAATCTATTTCTCTAGGGGCGGGACAGTGAGGAGCTCTCAATGTTGGGGTTCAACCTTTTAAAAAAAAATAAATTCTATTTCTCTAATTTAGACAATTCAACAAACAAGATAATTATAATTTATTACGGGTCCACGTTATTTATATTTTCACACTTGGTGGTTCTCACCCAAGGCTTTCTTAAAGAGTAATGTTATTCATTTCCGTGGGAATGAAAATACAGTTTAAGTGGCTTTAAATGATATGTGAAATGAAAGGTGAAATTAAATGACTCATCTAGACTGTGTTTTATCAATGTGAATGTCTCATTGGTTGACACGAAATATTATTTGCATCACACATTTTTATATTCTTTTATGTTTTAATAATTAGTAATTGCCCTTTTCAATTTAAGTTAGGTTAGGTTAGGTTATATCTTTAATGCATGACAGCAGTTCAACTATTACATTATTTTCGAACAGCTCAACATTGCATGTTCGAACTGTGTCTCAATTTGCTCTATCTTGTGGAAGTAAGATGCTTGTGTTAATCTTTAAGATTGTTGGATATTTTTCAAAATAAGTAGTTTTGGAGCAAATGTGCTTATAATACAGATTGGATAAGCTACTTATCTGACGATTGGCAACTGAATGATTGGCTTTAATTTATGAAAATACGTGTTTATTATGAAGTAGAGCCAATTATTCACAAATTTTCCATATTTCACTCTTGCAATCGAATCTTTCAGGCAAATGGTCAATTATTCAAAAAGGTTTCGATTTCATCACGACGAGCAGGGCACGTTTGTTAAGGCTCCTATCTTTACTTTCTATAGAAATGCTTTCCAAAAAATCTACATTAAGAGTCCGTTTGACATGAATTTTTTTGCTTTTACTTTTTATAAAAGAGCTTTCAAATAAAATTATCTTCATTTTTTGTTTAAAAACAAATTTCTAAATGTCTTCTATTCTAAAAGTGCTTTTAGAGTAAAACATATTGAACCAATTTCCTCTAAAAGTTCTTTTAATTAGAAAAAAAATTCATAAAATTAGTCAAATGGATCCAAAATAATTTTTGAATCTCTAAAGTTCTTTTTGTCATCTCAAAACTCTTCTAATTGGACAAAATACTTTTAGAGAACCATCAAAATAGATTCAAAAGTAACTTTTGAATTTTTAAAAGCCTTACCAAATAGTAGGGCCGGCATGGGTCGGTTCGGTTTTGAAGAAAATCGAATCGAATCAAAATTTTCGGGTATTTAATAAATGGAATCGTCAGGTCCAAATATAATTATAGAACCGTTCGAGTTCAGTTCCGTTCGATTCTGTTCGATTCTATACCATAATTAATTTTTTTAACATTTACATCAACACTACATAAATACAATTTATGGCATGTTCATTCGTAACTTTTACAAATTAACGTAACTCAATTTAAAAATATATAAATAACAAGTTGTCCAATAAGA